ACATTTACAGCTTAGTCAGACCTCCTCTCTGTGGAATCCAGTTCATGACAGAGGCTGTGGCTCACAATACTTAATTCTATTGAAGATGCATGCATCCCAAGTGGTAAAAAGAGAAAAATACAAGGTCCACAGAGAGGTAATGAGAGTGGAATAAATGGGAAACATACAAACTGTTCCCAAATAGACAACTGGGAGTAGAGGAGTGCTCCTAAAATCTTATTTCTCAGCTTCGTGGGGGAATCCTTTTATTTACCTGGGCATCTTCACTTCTGTACATAATCTACCATTTACTGAGCAATCACCATTGGATGAGATCATTGTAGACTTGAGGCTAATCTGCTCAATAAGGCTAAGGTACCATGGACAGCATTTTAAGGAACATTTTATCAGCCCACGAAAGTTCAAGTAAATTGACATTTTATGCACTAAAACCCAGGTCAGAGTATAGAAATAGGTTAATAATCCTGTCTAAATAAATTTGGGAAACTGTTTAGAAATGTTACATGTTACCCCTCTTTCAAGTAAAACACTGATGCTTAAACTATCAGTGATCAACTTAATCTCAGAAGGGAAAGTTCCAGCTTCTAATTCCTGGTCTGCTCCTCTACTTCCCATTATACATATCACAGGGTGGACGGGTTTAATGACTGAATACCTAGTACAGAACTGCTGGAAGATCTGACCAGTACAAGACCATCTGAACACAAACAGCCTCGGATTTTAAGACTGGATTTTTTTGTGCCCCTTTTGGTCAGTCCTCCCCTTGACTGATGTAAAAGCAGGCCATTACGCCCATGACTAGCTCAGCAAATTACTGAGATGGTTCTGAGCCTCGAGCTTGTCCTGACTCTGGCAGAGTTGCTGTTACTGAGACTTGTCAGTCCTGCCATGATTTACGTGCAAAGGAATGGGCTCTCCCTTAATCACACACACTTCAGGGTCTTCAATTTTCGTAGATGCATAAACACCCCAACATCGGCATCTGCTACTCCTCAAAGAACTTCCCATGTTCAGCTGAAGATACAGGCCTGCCTCGTTTTACTGCACTTTGTTTTACTGCACTTCGCAGCTATTTCGTTTTTTTTACCAATTGAAGGTCTGAGGCAACCCTGCGTCGAGCAAGCCTTGGCACCGTTTTTCACACAGGATTTGCTCACTTTGTGTCTCTGTGTCACATTTTGGTAATCCTCACAGTATTTCAGGCTTTTTCATTTTATTTGTTGTGCTGACCTGTGACCAGTGACCTTGGCACTGGGAAAGATGGTGTGACTCGCTTTACTGCGATATTCACTCTACTGTGGTGTCTGGAAGCAAACCCGCCACATCTCTGAGGCCTGCCTGCATCTGGCTGAGAGTGTTCAGCAAATCAGTCTTTTGGCAAACTGACCATTTGGGGTCTGACTGGACTGAGTAGTGTATTTCCCGTTCCGTCAACTACCACTTTTCAAAGAGGCAACTATAATAGTCATTCTAACTAACTTCTGTCTCTGGGACGAGAATTGCCCATTTTCACCATAAGGGGGAATAAATGGTCTACTGACTCAAAGTTCCCATATATACCGGGGTTATCACTTTTCACAGAATTAAAACGTAAGAAAACACATTTAGCTCTATAGCTTCGTCTTTCAAGCTCTGATAGAGACTGAGAGTCAGCATTATAAACAAATCGTCACTGGGCAGACGGCTGTTAAAAGATGCAGGACAGTAGACTCTCTTTGTCCAGACTCACGGGGGACATGGAGGTCAACTTGGAAATGACCTTTTGATAGAAATCATTCCCGTCTGCACTGCTGCCTTTCCAACCCCATCTCCAACCTTTCCCCTCCAGAGTTCACTGAGAAACAGGTCTGACTGCACGTGTGCAGAGTGTGAGGGCAGAAGACTGGCTGAGAACCTTCCAGGCCACCTTGTCCTCTAGCTCTTCTGGGTCTAGGAAACATGGAAAGTCCTGTTTCCAACATCAAAGGCCCATCATCAAAGCCTCTATTAAAGCTGGAAAGCATTCTACACTGAGTGCACTGGGGAGAAAGGATACGATTTATACTGAGTGTATTAGGGAGACAGGGATATAATTTCACTGTGTAAATACACAGTCGAACCTGGTATTCAAGAACTTAATATTCACCCTTGACTGCTTTCAAGTAACATCAAAGATGCATGACACACGGTGTTGGCAACCCGTCTGACTCACTACCTAATTAGCTCCTTTTCTGAATAATGTTGTAGGTGGAGCTGTCATAAATTGAAAGCTCATTTCCTATAGATGCAATATTATTTAAATTGGTGTTCTGTTCCTGGAGGTCGTTTTTACATCATAAAACTAGCAAAGTGTCATAGAAATAAATGTATGATTTTACAAAGTTAAGTATGTAAAACCAAACATGAGAGAAGGCTTAGCACAGACGTTACCTTGGGGACATTTTCCTCACGGCTGGTACTAACTGAGGCTTTTTTTTTTTTTTTTTTT